AAGCCCGGCATGCGGTCCGGCGTGGCCAGCACGCCACAAAACAGCAGGCACATCATGAAGAGCACGTTGGCAATGTTGCCGCCCCCCTCGGCCGTGTCCATGACGGCGATGCAGGCATGCGCAAACGTGCACGTGAAGACGAGGAACTGCCAAAAGAGCAACCACATGAGCGCGCCGCGCTCGGCCGTCTGGTCCGCCGCGCTGGCGTTGTTGTTGAACCCGACGGGGTAGTAGACGCACACAAACATGACGACCGACATGAGCGTGTTCCACGGAATCTCGACGAGCACCTGCGACAGCATAAAGACCTTCCAGCTGTATGTCTTGGAGGGCCTCTCGCGCACCTCGTACAGGGAGCGCTGCGTGACAAAGTGCGGCATCTGCTGCTGCACCAGCTGGCCAAAGATGCTGAGGATGTTGAAAATGGCAAACATTTGATTCTGGAGGCCTTGGATGCTGAGCGGCGCGTCGAGGAACACGAGCCCGATGAAGAGGGAGACCGAGGTGCCCAGGATAAACTTGGAGTAAATGTACGACGGCGTGCGCCAGTACTGGTCAAAGACGCGCCGCGACACGACGAGCAGTTGGCTCCAAAAGGGGGAGGCGAATTCCCGATACAGCGCGCGACTTTGCCTTTTCGACACGTCATCGTCCGCCGCGGCGGTTGTCTTCAGCCGCTGCAGCTCCGACTGGACGTCCTGGAACTCCTTGCTCGACCGCCACGTCTCGTGCCAGTCGATATCGGTGGCGGCACCCGGCGCCGCGCCAATGACTTGCAGCATCCATTCGGCGGGATTGTCGCCGCGGGGACACGGATGCGCGCCGTTTCTCTCAAAGTAGGATATCATGGCGGAGGAGCTGTCGCCAATGTCGCCAAAGTAGATTGTGCGGCCGCCCTTGGCCAGAAACAGCAGCCGGTCGAAGCGCTGAAAGAGCATCGCCGACGGCTGGTGGATGGTGCAGAGGATGGACTGCCCTGCCCTGGAGAGCTTTTCCAAAAGATCAAGAATCGCCCACGATGTCTGCGAGTCGAGTCCCGATGTGGGCTCGTCGACGAATAAAAGCAACGGCGGTCTGGCTGCCAGCTCGACCCCGATGGTTAGTCGCTTCCGCTGCTCGACATTGAGGCCCTCGCCTAGCGTGCCGACAATGGCGTCGGCGTAGGGCTGCATGTCGAGCAGCTTGATGACCTCGTCTACGTAGGCGAGCTTTTCGGCTCTGGGCGTCGCCGCTGGCTGGCGTAGTAACGCGCTGAATTCGAGGGCTTCGCGCACCGTTGTCGTTTCGAGATGAAGGTCCTGTTGCTGGACGTAGCCCGTCTTTCGCTGGAAAGAAGAGTCGCGTAATTTACCGTCGATGAGCATCTCGCCCGTGATGACGCCCATGGATATCCGGTCCGCGAGGCAGTCGAGCAGGGTGGTTTTCCCGGCGCCCGAAACGCCCATGAGGGCCGTTAGGGTCCCCGGCTTGACCCAGCCGTCTACATGGTCCAAGATGCGTCTGGGCTCTCCCTTGATCTTGACGTCGTAGCAGACATTGCTCCAGTGGAAAACGCTCGTGGAAGCCTGGATAGCACCCCCGTCCTTGGGCACAGACTGTCCAGATTTTTCCGTGATCCTGGCGGGGGAAGAATTGCTCCCTTCCACGTCTCCCTTTTGGGGGGATGCCGGCGGCAGTTGGCCTCTCCGGAATACCAAAACCTCGCCCTTGGACTTCTTCTCGGATATATACTCCGTGGCCAGGAAGTAGACGACGTGGTTGAACAGGATAAAGGCAATCAAAATGCCTACATTGCGCCACTTGTGGCCGTGGCTGTACTTGTACAGCGTGTTGATGTACGCGTCGCCGTCGACAAAGTCCTGCCCAATGACGGACCCGACCGCCGAGCAGGCCCTGTTCGACCCTGCGATATCCTCGTACCCGGCCACGTCGGCGCTGGGGACGAAGCTGTTGCACTTGAACTGCCGCCCACTAAACTCGTTGATCATGAGCGCTTCGAATCCGTAGGCCACGGGGTCCAGGTAGTTGATCCATCGGCACCAGCCGAGCATGTAATCGACGGGAATGACGAAGCCCGTAAATATGACGAGCGCGAGGATCAGTACCGACGCAGGGACCATGGCTTGCGATAGAGTCCGCGAGAGCGAGGCACTTGAATCATTGTGAGAATGGGCCCCGACAAACAACCGGGCGTGGACTTACATGGAGCGGAAAATGCCAGACATGGCAAGAACCATGAGAAACGAGACGAAGAAGAAGAAGAAGAAGGCACCGGGTGTGCGATTGAGATTCGTCATAAAGTACAAAATGAGGTTATAAAAGACGCTATTCATAATCTTGTAGGGCATGTCGACGATGATGGACGAAAACGCCTCGGCAGACGGGTGATGGAACCCATACCGGTTATGCTTCTCTACAATCGGCCGCTGCGCATACTGCGTCAGGATCTCGAGCGCGCTAGAAAAGGCATTCGCCAGAATAGCCACAAACAGCAGCGCGCCGCGTTGGAAAAAGCTCGCCGTCGTGGGCTGCAAGTCGTAAAACAGCGACGATATAATCAGCGCCGTGATCGAGTTTGCGACGAGGGCAAAGATACTCAGGCTCGGGTCTCCTGTAAGACGCCTCCATCCTCGCCAGAGACACAGCTTGATTTGCTCCGTGTACGACAGGATAAAGGGCGACCTGGCCCGCTGCCCCTTGGCCTGCTGCTGCCGCTTATTTTGCCGAAACGCGTCGGCGTCGGCGCCGCCCACCGGATGCGCCCGGTTGAACGTGCCAATGTCCGCCAGCAAGCTTCTCCTTTCCGGGCTTTCCAGCCAGCACCGGGCGAATTCGTCGGGGGTTCGCGGCGCGCGGCTCTCGTGGCCTGGTTGGACGATTCGCTCCGACGGGGCCGTCATGGACGTGAGGAAGTCGGGCGTCGTCTGCCTGTCGGGGCAGGCGAAGCCGAGATTGACAAAGTACGCCTTGGCTTGGCCCGTTGGCCCAAAGTAGATTTGCCGGCCTTGGTAGAGCACGAGGACCTTGTCGAAGAGGTCGTACGCGCTCTGGGGAGCCTGGTAGATGGACACGGCGCTGGTCCGGCCAAACACGTCCGACTGCAGCCGCAGCGTTTTGCAAAACTCAATGGCGTTGGCCGAGTCGAGGCCGCGGGTGGAATTATCCCAGCATTGGAGCGGCGCGCTGGACAGCGTGGCCTCGGCAATCGTCACTCGCTTCCTTTCGCCGCCCGACACGCCGCGGATGTACTCGTTGCCCACGCGCGTATTCGCCGTGTGGCTGATTCCGTACATGGCCATGACCACGTCTCGATAGTGAGCGGAGAATTGGCTTCGCGATACGCCGGACGGTATGCTGTGCGGCTGTCTGGCGCGGGCTGCAAAGGTCAGGGTGTCTCCGACAGACAGCATTGGAAAATGGACATCGACTTCGGCCGTGTAGATGGCCTCTCCTTTGTGCTGGGAGTGCATCTCGTGCGCGGATATGCCTTGGTAGTTGAACGAGGCCGACTCGTCGATGTAGATTCCGTTTGTTTCTCCCGAGATGCTCTTGAGAAAGGTGGTGCAGCCGGCGCCGGGGGGGCCAAGAACGACGAGCATCTCGCTTGGTTTCACGACACCGTCGAGACGGCGGAGGATGTCGACCCTTTGCACATTGCCCCGGCTGTTGCGTGTGCCTATCCTGCTCATCAGGCCGCGCAGGAAGCCGCCTGCCACCAGCCATATGTTGCCGACGTCTTTCTGGTAGTCTGTCTCTTGGCCAAAGCCATACACATTGAGGTTGGTGAAGGAGAATCCTGCGTGGCGAAATCCAGAACCAGATTCAGTCGCCGCCTGCGCCACCGTCTTTGCCCAGGTACGGGCATTGAACTTGGGCCCGTTTGGATTGAGAGGGGAGTCAGGATCATCGTTTCCAAATATGCCTCGAGCATCACTGTCAATAGCCACGGAGGAATTTCGAGTATAACGACGAGCAAGGTCCTGCACAAGAGAGTCTCTCCTGTTGGGCTCAGGGTCGGCGGTGTCGCTGTCAGTCTGGCCCGTGACATTCGGTTCAGTGGCAGGATGACTTGCTTGGTCATGACTAGCCGTGGCATGGCGGGTATTTTCTCTCATTGTAGGTCCGCCCGTAGCTGTTTCGAAAACCGTCCGCTCGCTGCCTTGTGCTGACGTGCTCCGGCCCGGGATGGACACGGAGTCACTTGTCTGGTCCATCTTGGCGTGTGATGGAAACAGCGCTCTCTGAGCCTCTGATGGCCGACTCTGCAAGGATAACGTGAGGCTACTCGGTTTAATGGGGCAAGGTATGATGGGGTTGCAAGTAAGCTGAGAACAAACGGGAGAATTATAGGGAAAATACGTTGAAAGAAAAGTTGTTGCGTGGAAGAAAGAGACAACAAGGGAGCTATACCAGCCTAAATATCAAGTGTAAGTAAACAGAGAGGCGGATCAGACGGAATCCAATGGCAAACCATTTTCATAGCCCCTTGGCTAGCGGACACGCACAGAAACGGAACGCGGATTTGCTTACGGTCCGAAAAAACGTGTTGCTCAGAATGGACGCGATAACACGGTTCGACTATCTTGCTAATGACTCTCTATCGTGAATATCCACTTTTCAAGACTTTGAGAGCTTTCGGAGTCCTGCAGGGTCCCGAAAGTTGAGAGACGGGGTCTTGATCCGCATCTTTCTCCGGAAGCCCGTTGTGTAGTCCGTTAGGGTGTCGATCGGATCCGTGGCATGCTACGCATGACTCGGTGGGCCAGCCTGTAGTATGGTCACATCACAATTCAACATATGCTACTATACTTCTCCATAAATCTTTACTTTTTATATAATCCAAAACCAAGATCGTCAAGTGGTTAGTCCGAACCTCTTGACCAAGACGACGGATACTACTCTTCTCCGTCTATATATCGGTGATTTCTTCTAACCGTACCTCAAGGGAGCTCATAATCATCCTCAACGGCATTCTTTGTTCGCGCATTCACTTCCCAACCATGCCCTCGACGACATTCCACAGCTCAGCAAGGCTCCAAAGGCCTCTGGCGTGCGTCACCTGCCAACGGCGCAAGAAGAAATGCGACCACGAATTCCCGTGCTCAAATTGTCGAAAGGTACGCTCAAATACGCAGCCAAAATTTCGCTACCGAGATGCTTACTTTTGAAGCGCGGCGTCATCTGTGTTCCAAGTACACCTGCGCCGCCTCGGAAGCGTAAGCAGTTCAAGAAGGAATTGTTTGAGCGCCTGGCAAGAGTAGAGCGACTGCTAGAGGGTCTACCTTGCGGTCCGTGTCAGACGTTACAGGCTGAAACGAACAAGTCTTTGTGTACAGCCCAGGGCTGGAGTGGTGATGGATTGACGCGCCCCAAAACACCGAAACCGGGCGCGGCATGTAGGGATCATGGGGTTCAGACAGACGATTGTAACCACGGCCAAGGCAAGACTAGTACTATTTGAAAATTGAAGGGATTATTTATTGCCAAAGATGAGCAATTCACCGCTTTCATGTGCCGGTTCTCGTGCGCAACGCGAGCATCAAATCGAAGTGGGCGAGAGCGTGTATTTCGTTTTTTTACTTCTTGGACCCGTCTCCACTTTACCTTGTTTTGTGGAGACTTGTCTCCATAATAACGGCCGCCCGGACTGGGACCCTTTGGTGTGGGGTCGGATATTCGGGTTTGAGCAAGGCTGCGTTGGATTTCCGAGACCTCGACGGCGCCACTCTCATATAAGTTGCGGCCCGTCAGCTGGGACCCGTTTCAATGTTCGTTTATATTGCTGGTACAGCATACCGCACAGCTACATGTCGCTTTTATTTCACTCCTTGGCCACACTCCGGCTCCTTGTAGAGTCACGGATTTCCAGGATTTTATAGGGCAATCCATGTCAGAAAAATATACAAAATGTCGACTCCAAACCCCTTAAAACAAAACCATTATAATGGCATTGACTACATTCTTATAATCGATTGGGTCTGAACAAGGTCTATTCGCCAATTTGACGTGTCATGCGACCCAAGGCTCTAGGCCAAGCGTCTGGTAGCATGACCTGGGTCCTGCCAGACAATGTTGCCACAGTCCCAGTCTTTCCAATCCCCATTGATCCGAGGTAATGCTACCATCTCGAGCTTATATACTCGCCCGTGTACCCCTAAAATGCTGCCTTGCGACCGATAACACGGAGATCCTATGCAATAATCATGACCCGTTCCAAGAGTTGCGCGAGGCCAGAGGCTTGTGCAGACTCTGGTTCACGATGCAGCTTCTATCTACCAATATTTGCGTCCTGCTTCTGACCATCTCTATCCAGCAAGCAGTAATAGACGATGGTCCATCGTCTCTAATTACCAATGGACTCCTCGTAAGTTTCCGTATTCTGAGCCGATGAGCAAGTATATCGGCACTCGTGTTGATATTTCTAGTCCCTGGTGTCCTTCTGCAGCGGCCTCCGTGAAATCACGTCAACATCAGTGCGAAGCGGCGTCATGGAACCGAGGTCCAATGCACAAACCATGTGCGACTTTTCACTCCTGTTGGGATTTACCATGGCTGCGAATCAGTTTCGTCAGATGAACCCACGGGCAGGATCGACCCCGATGTCGTGTGAAGAGGATGCAATGTTCTTGGGACAAGTATTGGAGCTCTCGTTTGCTTTCATCCGGCTTGAAAGGTAGGGCCAGCTGCATCGCATCACGAATCCTTGGGCTAACATGACCTATTAGCGTCGTTCATTTAGTTCTCTGCACAATTGGATTCGTAAGAAATCAGCATTTTTGAGGAATTCTGAATATTGTCATTCTGAGGGAGGAAGAGTGGTTGAGGCACCTCGAAAGCAAAACTCAAGCTATTCATAGTAGGCTTGAAGCGAGATTGCGTGTAAAATATCTTCTTCGGTCGTCTAGTAATTTAACCAACGCCGGTAGCTTGAATTGTTTGTGCCCAAGTTATCTAGCCAGCTCATTCTATGGACGTGTTACGCTGTTGTAGTATTCCTCACAAATGCGCCTTTTCTCAACCTCCTCATCTCCATCCACCAACTTTTGTTCCTTTGTCGTGCTCCCGGCGATCCCTTCTATTTCCTTGAGCAAGTCAGCCACGCGATTGTACCGCCCATGCCAGCAGTTGTCTATAATCTTGTCTATAGGATCTTCCAAGTTGACCACTGGGAAAATATCGTCCATCAAGCGCTCGACCCGATCTGGTCCTTCAAGCTCAGAATACAACTCAGTCCCCCGGGACATGTACCAAAACAAGGACCCCAGAGCGTACTGCTCTGTCGTCGGTCCAGCAACACCAAAAGCCCCGCCCTTGTCTTTCGCACCGGCTCTATATTGTCGAACGTAGGGCTCGTATCCCACATCCACGGGGTCGCCGATCGGTAGTGCATGATCAAAGTCGATTAATTTCAGTTGGTCATTGTCGTCAACCAGGACATTTTGAGGATTAATATCGCCATGGGCATACCCCAAGTTCTCTATACATGCGACTGCAGATGATAGCTGCAACATCCATTGCAGAACGGGCCGAGGGACCTTGGAGATGCTGCTTATCCTGTCGTGGAGACTGCCATGGGGAAGACACTCCAGAAAAAGAACGTCGGTTCCGCGAAAAAGGCACTTGGCAATGTACCGACAGTCTGTTTGCTCGAGAAGTTGAAATATTTTCTGTTCATTTTGTAGCCTGCTGTCTCCTGGGTGAACCGCCACCTTGGCCACTATGCTTGGAGAGATTTGCACGACGACGGAATGGCCGCCAATTGCGAAGACGGTGGAGGACGGGCAGGCAAGAAGGAGCCGCTCAATTATTGGATTGAAATCAGTCGTTTCAAACCAATTTCCAAAGTGACGAATTAAATCGTCGTAATTCATGCATAAGCCTGTCATTGTTCTTCTCCGTGGTTGGGAACAGAACGTTGATAATGTTGAAATGGTCAACTGGTGCCTGGGAACAAAAGGAGCCCAGCATATGTACCAGACGCTTCTTTGGCGTTTTTTCCATTTGATAATCCCCTGAGCATGGTGAATGCGGCACGGACTTCTTTTGCAAGATGGCGGTCAGTCCGTCGTCGACCAACAGCTGAATATTGGAGCTACCCTATAGCTAATACCAGTACTCGGAAAAGAGAATGGAGTGCGGTACATGTATGCAGCATGACTGACTCGGCCACATCGCCGGTGCCTTCTTTGTGTATTGTATCCGTCGCATCATGGTGCCAAAGCCTTGATAAGTGAGACTACTTTACAGGATGGTCTTCGTCGTGAAAGCGGTCAATTTGCTTTAGATGTGCCAGGAGTCTCATCAATATACACATCTGGTTTATAAGCACGTTGAAGCACTGGTACGATTTCCATACGCAAGTTGGCATTGCCGTCTTGTAAACCACCATTCCAATATCCCATGACAATTCACCTCTAGATCCAGGCCGTGGTTAAAGGGTGGCTTAACCATGTTCTCAGTGAAGATCTTAAGACCATTGACATAGGGGCATTGGCGACTTGTTCTCGACACTGTAAATCGTATTGTTGAGTTTCTGGGCACTTGTCGACGTTGGCTTTGAAGTCTGCCCAGCCTCACTTCTCCCACAGTCGCCTGCGATCCGTCTCCATAATGTAACAGCAAACCGGTGACCATGTCATTGAACCGGCATAGGTTGACACCAAGCAGATCGTCAAGCGGCGCCGAGGTGTAAAAGAAACTCTCCGAGATATTCCAACAATTCGGATTGTTTCCTGGATGGGGGGATATAGGCACGGGCCTGTAGTCCTCCCAAGTATTGCTGTTGCTTCCTGGTTCCGGGTCAAAGGCGAGCTCGCGTATGAAGCCGACAGAGTCATCAATGTACATGTAGTTGGGGCCATCTCGCAAGACGGCCAATCGCGAATAAGAGTACCTGCGGTTGGGGTTTTCATGAGGCCCTTCCACATAGACGTTGTCGAGTGATGTAGCTATAATTAGATCTACACCCCGATGGGGATGTGAATGGCAGTCTCGACGCCATATGTCCTTCAGAAGCTCTCCGCTACCAAGTGCAATGTAGAACCATGTGGTGCCCCTTTCGGGAAACTCATCATAGCAACGCAAATCGCTACTGGGTGCGTGTGCCATCATTGTAAGGGCTCGGCGGGCGGCATTCCAGGCTATCGAGTAGCCTGTTATTTCTGGATCATTGACCGTGATGCGGTTGAATCGGGCTGCTTGTGAGTGTTGTATTAGGGGGAAGTGCACAAGACTCGGTCGGAGGGACGGCGCAGACCACATTGGGCGTTTTGGGTTCCCTTCTTGATTCCCATGTATATTGCGGATTTTGAGACCCTAGCTCAGAAGTTAGCGCTTCTAACGGCCATGAATAAATAGTCAATGGCGTGGTAAAAAGTACGTCAAAGTCAAAATAAATGCTTTGGCCAGCAGAAAAGGGGATGTCCTGCCACCAATTCCATCGAACAGTTTCCAGTTCTACTTCATCTGCCGAACAGGCAAATAGTATGTTCTGAACGCCCAGGGGACCTCGCGAAAAGTAAATAATGTCCGCTGCGGGCTTTACTATTGGGTCATATAAAAGGATACCATCGGGATCATTGCTCAGGCTAGACACGTAGCTTTCACCACGTAGCGTCACATACGTTCCCCATGTACAATGTGCGGTGTCGATTTGCGCTTTGCAGGCCTTGGTGATGCTTGCCTCAGTTCGTATAGCCGATCGCGCAATATCAAGCATAGTGGCATCGTTGCGCATTAGGTGGTGTTGGTAGTCGGAAGATCGTCTAGCTGAAAGGTCGAACTCATTGTCCCAACAGTTCACTTCGCAAGTGGCCAAAGATGGCAGACCAACTTGTGAGCAGACCGAGTGACAGCCATGAGCGAGACCATTGATGTGTGGGCAGTTCACCATGCAGGCAAAGTACTTGCCAGGTTGATAGGCTGGATTTGCCTGGGAAGCTAGTCATTTCGTCAGAATCATGCTTGTCCAAGGCATCAATGCCACGAACCCACAAAGATGTCGTCGTTGCCTTTCAGCTGTAGTGTGCAGAGCACACAACGGGGGGCAACGCAGGAGGCAATCTGTTCAGTCATTTCAGCCCATAATTCCGCGTCACAGATGGACATTATGATGTAAATGTGCATGAGCTTGAGTTCCAGCTAAGAAGAAGAGGGGTCAATCCGTAAGTACGGAGTTGACGTGTTGGTCCTGGCAATCGGTAATGCCAGCTCATCAATCCCCAGATGAGTCAACAGTTGCCCCATTATTCCCCGCCTCTGTCATGCCTAGTATTGAGAAAAACTTTCAGTCGGTTTATGTCTTTCTTGGAATTCAGGTTGTACTCGATGCACGTTGCTTCGTATCGTTGCCCTTTGCCAGTATCGTCGCGAAGAGCGCAATCGCCCGGGCCCTTAGTATCCTTCCCAAAGCAGCTTATACAGTCGGTGATTGACGAAGCCGGTTTTTGTATTATGTAGAATATAAGGTCAATGTATCCTCTTAACGTGAAAATGCTTCAGAAAGCTGACAGGACCAAGTTTTCCTAGACTGAATTGGAAAGCTACGAACATCCATATCCCGCAGTCATGAAGGATTCATATGCCCCGATATACTGCATTCGCCAAAATTCGACCAAGGGCTTCTATCGATACGAGGCGAAAGGCACCGAATTTCCAGCTATATTTGTAGAAGTCCAACAGTCAGGCAAAACTAAAAGTAATTCCTTTAGGAATTTATGCTTTTCAGCAGCAAAATACGAAACTTCCAGGTATGTTCCAACTAGAGCACGAAATATATTATATTCTTTATATTCTTAACTATACTATATAATATTGTAATATATTGTAATATATTGAAGCAAAAAACATAATATCAAGTACATTTATATTTACTATATTTGTAAATGCTGTACAATTTCCAACCATGGATTTCGTCGTAGGCTGTTCAGCGAACCTCCAGTTTTCTTACCAGACCCAGTCTTATCTTGAAGAAGTGAAAACTCATTTCAAGAGGCTCAGAGTTGTATCGGCCCGGCTCTAGTCATTATTCATCAGCTCCTCCCAAAGCCTTCGCCATTAGAGTCTAATGTCACAGGGCAACATCAACTTCAGGCCAGACGCGACTGCAGAAAACGTAGAAACTTGAACAACGGTTTGCCCATAGCCACATCCTCGGTACAGACATCACTCTCAACATGCTGCAGCAGCCCGCTCATTGCCGAAAACGGAGTGCCACAAGTTGGGCACTCAAAGTTGTAGTCATCATCTTCGCTCGTGTAAAAACGCGACTGGTGACATTCAAAGGCGAGCTCAACCATCCAGTCATTGTCCACTTCTGAGGCGCAATTCCCTGATTCGAGGTGCAAGAGCACGGCTGAGGAAGAGCGAAATGTTCTGTAGCAGCCAAAGCATTCCATATTTTTGGCCGAATGTGTTTTTGCATGCTGTACAGTCTGATGAGAAATAAAGCGTTGAAGCCTCTTGGCGGAGCGAAATGAACACGTACGCATCGCAGATTTTGTTGCGTCGCAAAGTACGATTTGCAGATTGTGCACAGATTGTGTGCCGATACGTCATGTTCCTCGAGTAGTTGGGGGCTATCAAAGGAGCGGTTGCAGGGTACACAATGGTCGTGGACCTTTTCCAAGTGCGCTTCAAGATCAGCTCTGTTGTCAAAGTCCATACGTGTAGTGCACATTGAACATATATGGTGCTTCGAAGAGTCTCGAAGATGTTGTTGCAGTGCCGATGCTGAATCAAACGATTTACTGCATCGTACGCAGTACTCGTGGGAGGAAGAATGACGCAAGTGCTGCTCGAGGGATTCTTCAGACACAAACTCCCTCTCGCATTTGGCACAATATTCCATTGTTCCTCTTGCAGATGGCCAAATGATTTGGTGTGGTTGCACTCCAGTCGTCCCCGACGTCAAAGTGAATATATGAATGACGAGGACGGTGGGCTACCGAAGTCTGAGCCTCGGGCTGGTTTTGTTAGGGTACGACGTGATACAAGACCGTCAATGTTCCCCCCTCTTTATACGGAGTACGGTGAGACATAATTCCCTTGGTGTAACCGAATCGAACTCGCGCGAAAGGAAATTCTGCAGGGCTAAATAAGCTACTCGCCCTTTGTAAATTCATGTACTTGGGCTGGGCATCTCGCATAAACCGAGATTGTATTGCATATGAAGCTAAGGGGAAAGCATTTAAAGGGAGCAGACTTCAAAGTCAAGCAAGAATGCCAGGTATAAGCCCAACGTACTTATACTATGACCTGCTTCAGATTCTGCCGACTCAATTTTGCGGTGTACACGCAACTTGAGACCACATGCAATCGATGCCAGCCCATAACACGTCTTTCAACCAACTACTGAGTCTAGACATTTGCGCGCCATCTCCAGCCATGGAGAGAGATGAGAAGCCGTAGCGACAGACTTCAAGGTAATATCAACCGAATCATACGCAACTGTATTTGTCATTTACGCTACCGATTCCATCTTTTTAAAGTGGACATAACTCCCGCATTCTCCGCCAGTGACCCATGTGGCATCACCAGATCGCACTGCCGGCCACACGGCACTCGCCTTTGTCGTGTAGAGGCCCAGGCGCCCATCAATCTCGACCATGCAATTGTGCCAGGGCGTGGGTATATGCAAGTGGTCGCAGCAATCCAAAGCCTCGCCCGTCGGGGGAATGACATCCGTCGGAATGACGTGTTTTCCCAACATCTTGATGCCGAATTTCGGGCCAGCATTATCGTGTCTAAAAAACCATATGTTGGTATCGAGCCAAAAGGTTTACTCATATATAAACGTCGAGTCACTTACGCGTGTATGGACAGCCGCACATGGTGCGGAAACATCATTTCCACCAAATTCGAATAGGCCTGGTTTCGCTACCAAATAGTTCAGCGCCCGTCACAGTGTAGCAAAGGCAAAGGACATACCTGCATCATCTCTTTAGCCACCTCGGACGCCTTCCTCCTCAACTGGCTCCGGCTGAGATGCCTCGTGTACTGGTTCGTAGCGAGGTCCTCGAGCATAAACTTGGAGAAACCGCGATACAAAGCCAGCAGCGCCGGATCCCTGGCAATCAGATCCTCCATCGGCTCCGCGTCACCCGGCCGGAATCCCATGTCAAGAATCCGGCGGCACAGCTCGGCCTTGGCTGTCGTCTTAGTACCAATCAGACGAGGCCTGAGCGGCGGATAACCCGTGACCAGAGGCAATTCGCTCGCACCAACGAGGCCGTCGTAGTCGAACAACTCGGGCAGCGATCGGAAGCCGATTCTGTCCTTGCCCCCGAGGCGATGGGCAATCGTCTCGTTCATGGCTTGCAGTTCCGCCCCGTACTGGTCGACAACCCCGTCGTCGACGCCAACTATCCAGCGTCAGCATGCCGGGTCTGGCATTTCCATCCATATCAGGTCCTTTTTACTCACTGCAATCGCTAAACACGTGCCCGTCACTGATGATCCAGAGCTTGGCCCCCGGCCCATAGACATCCTCCACGTCTTGCAGGAACCGTTGCAAATTCGACAGGGCCACGTATTCCCCACGGTCTGGGGACTGGGACAAGACCTTCTCCGTGCTGGATGACTTGCACGGAAACGCAGGCAGGCAGAATTCGACCCGTGCCCCCCGGGACGTAAACGACCTCACCTGCTGCCGAAACACGTCTCGTCCCCCCCTGAGCCATTTGTCGTGTTTCCCGACGTACCGCAGGCTTGTATCGAAAAGATGCACAATCGCGTCGGCGGCCATGTCAGCGTCGGCGTGTCGTAAATGGCCCACGTGGGTGTTTATATCCACGCGCAGGCCGCGCAGCACCAGGTCCGCGAAAAACACGTCGAGCTCCAGAGACTGCGGCGTCGGCGACGAATCGGGCGCGAGCACAAGCCCAATGACTTGCTCATCTGCGAGCCTTGGCATTTCGAAAACCACATACTCGTGAGAGGGGGGCACACGCTCCAGGCTGTCAGCTGTCTCGGGTGCGTGCTTGACGGGCAAGCAGGTTTGCGACAGACGGTTGCGCAGGCGGCACTCCTCCCGCAAGACGTGGTCCCGGATCTGGGGCCATACTGAGGTTATTCGGGTGGGAAAGGGGCCGAAGCAGTGAATGAGATGGCCAGAGGTCTGGCGCACAAAGCCCGCTATGAACCGGCCGTGGATCGACGATCTGGACGGCAGCGAAGCCATTTCGCCAACGGGGCTGTAAATGTGTTGCGTGTCCCGGGCGACACAAGTATCAGGAGCGGCAGCCATGAATAGAATTGTCCGATATACTTTGGTATGAATCCAAGCCGTCCAACGACGCGATTGAGACTTGTTTTATAATGGATAAGGGGTGTTCGCGAAGGGGCTGGGCATCGCCGGATCCGGCTCTGTGGATGTGCAGGATTCTCGGGACTTTTCGAGATATTGAAGCTTTTGGGTCATTTATCGTATCATTATAATAGGCGATATAGTTATTGGGGTATTTTATATGGCGATGACGAGAAAATGCGTGAGCCGCAGGTGAACCGGGCGAGAGCAACGCCGCGGATCCAGCGCCGCAGACGGGACACTGCCGATGCGAACCTTGTCCAGCCTTTGGTAGGAGCCGTTGAGGGATCAAAACGAAGAATTTTGGTCATGGTACGGATAACCGTGGGGAGAGCCGCGTCAGAATGTGTGGTGAGCGTGAACAACTCTTTCCTTATAAGACTGACTGGCATTATTGGGTAGGGAGTCGAGGGACGAATCACGGGGCGAGGACTGTATAACGCCTGCGAATGCTAGGTTGGCCGGCGCGTGATTCATTACGTTTTGGTGCGCGTCCGCGTGTTTGGTCTCGTCAAAGACGTCACGAGGCGAGAGTTGGCGCGCGGTGACGGCGGCTTCGCGAGGGCTCCGAGTCAGAGCTCCATTCGTCTAGTAACAGTCGTTGGTATCAAAGGTGATTGACTGTCCTCGAGGCGTTTGGCAACAAGAGACCTTGACTGTATAAGACAGCGCTCAACCTAGTGCGCTGGGGTCTCGTATGTTAACATTGAACGCTTGTGTGATATCCGTGAGATGGCGTTGCTACGCGTTTGATTCCGTCAAAGACGTCACGACGCGCAGTCTAGCGCACGAAAAGTAAACTCACCAGCTTTCTTTCACCAAATTCTGACGCTAGAGTAGCATGACGGGGTGTCTTCTTTTTTCATTTCTCTGGCATTATTTGCGCTACTGCAGGTAACTCATGCCACGTATATTATCGGCCTCGCTTACACGTAAATCCACCAGAAGATATATCCGGCTTTGGCTTCGCTCCTGCCAAGCCCAAACAGCCTTGCACGAATGTGCCAATACAATTTTTGCTCTTGGCAATGACAAAAGCTGGGACAATCTTTTTTTCCTCAACATCTCAAGCGCTCCATTGATTGCAACATTGGTGTGCTGCTGCGAAACCCTGTGCAATTCGGGTTGCGCAATGACTGCCTCCCTGCTGCTGGGTGGTGCGATACTATTGGCAATCACCGTGTCCGGTGTCCTCTTTTCTTACTTTTCATCTCCTCGGAAAGGCGTTGGCGGCATTCCCACGATACCCCTCTGGGTGGCACTGATGCCCTTGGTCAAGGACGTCGATCAGCAGGACGTCTTCACCAAGTGCATTGAGAAACCACTGCGCAAGCACGGTGCGGCCTCGATATTTTTTGCGGGCCAATGGAACGTGTTGATTCACAAGCTGGCCTATCTGGCTGAAGTTTTCAGAAGCGAGGACATATACCAGAAGAGTGGAAACTACAGCAAGATTCCTCATAGTGTCTTGGCAGCTCTGCTCGGGGATAACATCATATCGAGTCGCGGAGAAACCTGGAATAAGCTGTGCACACGGCTCCTCTCCGCCCGAGACTCTGGACAACTGACAGAGAAGCAATTCCGAGACAACGTCACCGTCTTATTTGTGGCTGGCCAAGAAAACCCCCAGTTGGCCATCCTATCAACCATGTATTTGCTGGCCAAGCACCCGGTAAGTCGAGGCGAAGCCGCACACAATTCGTAGTCGGCGGCAGCTGACAACGCCTTTCCACACAGGACATGCAGGACCGACTCTTCGACGAGCTCAGCCAGCAGCCTGGAAAGCCAGTAGACGCAGAATACCTAGACAGCCTGCCGCTACTGACGTCCATCATATACGAGAGCCTGCGGCTGTTCCCCCCCACCGGGCAGCTCATCAACCGCCGCGTAGCCTCTGCCGTCTATCTAGGCGACGCCATTTTCCTCCCCGAGGGCACGTACGTCGGCTACAACTGCTACTCGACGAACCGCGACCCCGACGCCTGGGGCCAAGACGCAGACGCCTTTCGGCCAAGTCGCTGGGGGTGCTCGCGGCGCGATATACACAGGGAGTACAGGCGGCGGAGGACGCGTGCCGAGTTCATCACTTTTCACGGCGGGCAGCGCGAATGTCTGGGGGAGCAGTTTGCCGTGCTGCAGTTGAAGGCGACTCTGTACACGCTCGTGACAAGTCTCCGCTGGCGGCTTGATACAACGTGGCTGGATAGAATGACTCCCGTAAGCAAGACGGGATGGCGTTGACGTGGACATTGAACCGTGTTCGACGCGGGCTGAGGCTAATTAGGGCCAATTTCTTATAGGCTGCCTTGTGTCCAGGAAACTTGCGCTTGCTATTCGAACAGAGGGCAGCGGCGCCCACTTGATAAGTCATCTGGTAGAATCTTTCTGCTGGCTCCCGGTCGGGGGGGGATGGGGGCCGCACGAGACCTCTCGTCCTGGAAATGTGAACGGGAAGGATCCGGAAAGCGGCTGCCAGAGACTGATTGACGCGTGTTGTCTAGTTAGAACCCCAAGTAAGCAGCCGCTTATAAGAGACGGAGGAGTACAAACAACCGGCCAGCCGAGACTTACGTACAAGAGGTCAAGGAGGTCTGCTGTACAAGACGATGGAGTACTCCTGCCAAGAACACGGCTTGGTAGTGGCGAGAATACGTCTGTAGCCTCGGCAACATGAATGGCTTCCTGTCACGTAGTTGCTGCTATGCCTCTTGCGTTCACACCGTTCAGCCGTGATTCCGTACCGCCAGTGGCCAAGGGGAGCAGGCGATAAACCACGCCAACGCGGCTTTCTTCCGAAATATACCGCGTCACCAGGCAACCGAGGACCAGTCTGATTAAGTACCCTAGTACCACCGTCCGCTGCGGGAACTCCCTCGTCCGGAGTAAAATGTGTCATGTTCAGCTATCCCTCTTATTCACACATCTCACCAACCCCCCAGCGAACGGGGGCAAAGTTGCCAACTTGCGTCGCCCAAGGAACGCGCTTGACATTTGTCGACGCACTCGGAGCATGCTTCGTCTCGCCATGGGCCGTGGCCAAGGACTGACTGTTCCGGCTCGCTTTCCATCAAAGTTATCCAAAAGGGGTTCGTTGTGTGTGCCCTCCAGTTTCGGGCTGGGTCCTAGGCAGTCTACACTTGGACATCGACTTGAACACGTCATCGTCCCTCGTTGTCAATGTTGCCCTGAAAAGCTGCGGAGAAATCGTTGGATGTTGTGCTTGTCTCGATCGGCAGCCCCTGCTGGGAATTCTGCCGGTAGATTTATTCATGTAAAGGGGGTATTTCACGGCTTATCAAGAAGAGAAAATATCGGGGTTTATGGTCCAAATGACCGAATGGTATAGTTGCATATTCCAAAAAAACGTTGGTTGCGTGCTTCCTGGCCCATTATACTTGTACTCGCAAGCTCATGCTGCCGGTTCTTCCAAGGTGATGAAACTGTGCATCATACCAGCCTTCCATTCGACTCCCCGTCTCCTTGGTGGCTGACCACTCCTACATGGCCAATCCATCGCCGTTGTGCCTTCCGGCATTGGGCTCCAGTATCACGAGTGGGATCGTGACCCTCAACAATACGCAGTTGCTCTATACATAGGTGGCTTTGGGTTCGTTAATGCCAAGCCCATGCATTGGATTGTATTGGATCGCCTCTCGTATGGGAGTGGATGCGTCACCCGGCCTGAACCCTTGCCTTGCACCTTTACGAGCACCATCGCGAATCCTCGAGCCTTGGCTACTTGCGTCGCTTATCACCAACGCAAACGTGAAGGGTATACATAAAATTCAAACAATCCACTCTCATCCTGCTTCCAAGCGGTGGAGGTTCAAAGTTCCTCCATGCCGTTTTTCTAGCCCGACAAGCAACGGCGCTTCTTCACGTAGACGTACATATCTCTATAAAGTACAATCCGTGCCCAAGATAAATTACAAGGTTGACCCGGCAGTGCCATGTTCAAGAAAACCCCGGTCGCCGCCACCGCCTCCCTTACCTCGCTTCTCTGTCGAGTGTTTCCGCAACCGTCGACGCAGGACGTGCAAGGCCTGCCGGAATGCCGGCTGCCCGGACCTCATCCAAGCCATCGCCAAGCATGTTTGCTGCCCATGCCCCCAACATACTCCAGACCAAGGGTTCATCACACGCCAGACGCATATGGCAGAGGACATCAAACGCGTCAAGGATGCCCGAGTTGCCGGCGTTTCTTGGGCACAACCCTCCAATCTCTACGTGTGCCCAATCACACGGCCAAGTTTGCGGCGGCAGCCACAGCTATGCTTGGCCGTGCACCTCGGGATAAGCCTCGATGACTGCGAAGCACTAATGACGAACAAGGTCGGACAGAGCTCGCACGAGGACAGTTTACCTGTCAATAATGATGATATTGTTGCAAACCTAGGCACCCTGTCGCTTCAGGGCGCGTCTTTAAAGCCTTCAAGACTAACTAAGTCTTTGGAGACGTGGATTTCTTTCCTAGGTTTTGCTTCGCAACGGCGAGATGCCAGTGTTCGATTCTCTCCAGCCCCCGAGGTCGCTAGGGTTAGCCATCAGCTACGTTTCATGTTACGAGAAGCATTATTGTTCCTTCTTTCTATTGAATTCCCAGTTCTGGTTCTATCTTCTATTTGTCCATCTATTACTTGCCTCACATACCCCGGCCCCTGGCGCTCGTGCTTATGATAGACATTCGTCATGGCTGGCGGAGGGCTCCAAACAGCAGGTCTCACTGCCGCCATCATTGGTCGTTTGTTTCAAGATGCATAGCGTGCGCCGTGCTTCTTCACGGCAAGGCACAACGACCAATACACCAGACTCTTTCCTAGTGTCGCACATAGCGCCCCTTTCTCCTCCAAGACTATCCTACAAACCCTAAGCATTTTATATATCTTCTTCTTCCCTATTCTTGCAGATTATAGTTGTACCACTCCGATTCGATTAATCACAACATCCATGATCCCACCCCCGTAACACCGCAGGCCAAACAATTGGCACCAAAGCACACCAGTGGCCTCTTGCCCCAAACCATTTCCAGCAAAAGCCTACGACCACTCGTTCAGTATCCTCTTCAGGGAGGCGGGGGGGATCGCAGCCAGCGAGTAGTGCTCGTACTTGGCGGCCGTGGCAGCCCTCGCCTTCTTGCCCCAAATCATCATCGGGACGGGAATCAGCAGCGCCGCCGCGGCCGTCGCGGCAACTATGATAAAGGCATGCAGGACGCCTATTTTTTGGATCGCCGGGAGCAATGCCACGCCCACCACGACGGCAATCAGGTTCCGGACAAAGACAATCCCCGCCAGGGCATCGCCAATCATCTACACCACCTCGATTAGCATCCTTGCCGCACACAAAGACGTCGACCATGCTGCGGTTTTTGCATCTACTTACGTTGTGGTAGCAGTCGGTAATGTACGCCAGCGCCACGTCCAGGCAAATACTAAAACCGAGTCCGAATACAGCGGAACCAACGCCGATGAGAATCACAGAAGCCGCCTAAAACAAGCAATTGATTGTCAGCATGTAAACATCCAGCAAGAGTCGCCAAAGAGAACAAGGCGCCCACTCACCTTGGAAAGGGCAATGCCAAAGAGTAATAGCCCGGCACACGTCAACACGGCCCCGGGGATGGCGAGCCACAGACGCATCTCGGGGTGGTAGATGCCGCCGTTCCTACGCGCGAGGTGCACCACCCAGCGATCGCTCAGGGCGGCGACGACGACGCTGCCCAGGCTGTGCCCGACAAAGGGGGCCAGCCCAAACAGCCCCACGTCAAACGAGTTGAACCGGAACGGCGCCTCGAGCAGCTTGGTGGCCGAGAGGTGCTGGTGCACCGACAGCCAGGCCATGACGGAGCCGTACGTGACGGCGGCGTACGCGACGGCCGGGAAGCTGACGAGAATGACAAACGGGGACGTGAAGCGCACCCCGATGGGCCTCTTGGTCTGCGTCACCAGCGCGAACCGCTGCTTCCACGTCTTGGGGGGCGCGGGGAGCCTGACGACGGCCCGGGTGGGAATCGTCATGGTGCGGTTGACGTCGACGAGGTCGACGGGGTCCTCGGCACTCGCCCACGAGACGGGCCGGTTGAAGAACTCGTCCTCGCGCTCGAGCACGTCCCCCGCGGGCCCCTCGGCGTCCTTGCCCGGCGGCGAGGGCACGTAGGTCGACTCCTCGAGCAGCAGGAGCATCAGGACAAAGGTGAAGGCGAGGGCGGCGGCGGTCCAGCGCACGGCGGCGCGCCAGCCCTGCGCGTCGACGAGGAAGCCGACGGCCACGGGGCCCAGGAAGGCGCCGGCGCCCTGGGCGAACAGGAACAGGCCGTTCATGGTGGCGAACTGGTGCACGAAGAAGAGGTCCGCCACCGTCATGGGCACCAGCGTCTGGCTGACGGACGCGGCGGCCCCCGTGACGACGCTGCTGATGAAGTACTCCGACTTGGTGCTCACGTTGGCCGTCCACAGGGCCGCCGCCGTCTGGGTCAGGATGCTCATGAGGTACAGGGGCCGTCGGCCGTAGCGGTAGGCCAGGGGGATGAGCACGATGCCCGCCAGCCCGAGGCCGATGAAGCTGAGGGAGCGCTCGAGCGCGATGTCGTCGTCGCTCACGCCCAGGTCCAGCTGGAGACCCGTGTAGGTGACGTGCGCCTCCTCGATGAGGACAAACGTCATCGACGTGTACCAGATGACGATGCCAAAGTGCAGCGCTTTGCGGCGGGCCGACCAGTTCTGGCTCTGCGGGTTAGTTTTGTGCACATCAATCTCGGCGGTGGAGCAGCACACACCAGGGGATCATCGTAGTCGTCTGTCGGTTTTGGGTGCAGGATAATCTTCTTGTCCGGGCCTGCGCGTGTCCTGGTGAGCCCTTGTTTCCGTGCATCAGCTGGAGCTGTACGTACCCGTCAATCGAATAGTGCCCGGAGGCATCTTGGTGGCCATTTCTGCAAAAAACGAGGGAGAACCAGCTCCGCGGGCTAGTTTTTTTTTTTTTCTTGTACCGTAAAGACTGATGGCACGGGATTACAAAAGTTGAAGCATGATAGTTGCAAACGAAGGGAAGGGACAGTGAAGATGGATAAGGGAGCGACTGAGATGGTTCACCACCATCGTTTGTGGGTTTGTCGTTGAAACCAAGTTGGGGGCGGCGCGGCTTTTAAAAAGCTCCAGTCATCAATAGAGTTAGTCGACATAGTTCCGGAGCCGACGGGCTGCTCCACCTCGCCCACGTGCAGGGCCATTATCTCTGCTGGC